TGTTTCACAGCACCATTTTGTTCCCTCTCTGCCAGACTCCTTTTTCTGGTAGCAGGAGATGGGAGGAAATTACACATTTATTTTGTTAGGTTTGAAATAAACTTGATTGTGACATCAAAATTCTCTCTATATATTTACATCCCAAAGTAGATTTTTATTTATAAGTTGAGGACTTAATAATTCATCTCTCTGTTAGTTCAGAACTTTAGAATTGACTTTGATTCTACTGTTTTTCATATCTTTAACATTCCTGAGAGTTGTTGATTGCCTTTTTGAAAAGTCTTTCTATGTGTTCTTCCTTTTTAATTCTATTACCAGTCTAGACTCCCATCTTCTAACCAAGTTACTGCAACATATTTTCCAGAATCAAGTCTATTTTGTATCTTTTACCACATTTATCTTTTTAAAATACTTTAATTGGCTCCTCGTTTTCTACAACACCATCCAAACCCTCTTTGATTTTTAGGGCCCTAACACACAAATAACAGAAGTGGGGCATATTATATTCCCTACTTTATTATATCTAATATTATTCCTTCTCCACTATCTGCTTTCAGTTGTATCCGCTTCCTTTAGTTTTTCAGAACTGCTGTACTTACTCCTACATATTGCAGTTAGCTATTTTTAAATTTTTGTTTTTTTATCAGTGTCCCCTATGATCGGCACCATATTGGGTCCTTATTTGTATCCTTTTCTCTGCCTGAAATGTCTTCTTTCCTCCTCCCTATTTCCGTTAGTCTGTATTCTGTCTGTTCTTCAATTACTTGCTTAAATATTATTTTTCCTCTGAAGTCTCTCTTTATTTCCCAAGCTGAAAGTAATCTTTCTTTCCTCCTTGAACATTCATAGCACTTTAGCCATACCTCTTAGATTATTTAACTGTACATTATGTTAGATATTTAGGTATTTGACATTAGCTTATTGAGAACAGGCATTATCTGTTCTAGCTAGTATGTAAAGATTAATGTAAGGTCCTTGCTATGTACTTCATGTCTAACATTAGTTGCAAAATTACCTGAAGTAGTGGAGTCTATAAACAATTGTGTGTTCAAATGAAGATATTATAAGTATGCTAGAAAAATCTCTGGGAGTAGGAGTAACATTTGGAGGTATAGATTATTGGTGCTTTTATCAAATGGGAATTACCCATATGTTGGTGTAAATTGGGTAAACCCTGGAACTTTTTTTTTTTTTTTTTTTTAATGAAGGAAATTAGAAGTGGAGGGTATTCTCCTAGGAAGAATTTCTGTTTTTAGGAAGTAATTTTTCTTTAACTGGTACCTAGCCAACTTGGAAATTTTCTGTGGCCTTGACAAAGTCAATCATACTTAGACTGTGAAAAGGAAACCTCTGATAATATGCCCTGAAGCCTTATTACTTTTGAATAAGAATGAATCTAAGATGAATCTAAGAATTATTAATATAGCATTGAGGTAAATAGCAGAGGGTTTGAAGAGTGGTGGAACTGGATTTGAATGCTGTCACTGCCACTTAGTAGTTGTATAACCTTGGACAAGTTACTTTACATCTCTAAATCTGTTTTTTATTTGTGAAATGGGGATGAAAATAACTCAAAATTTTGTGAAGGCTAAATGGAATCCTGCCTGTATTTGGCACAGTGCCTGTTGTGTACAGTAAATGTTAGGTACTATTACTATGATGATATAAAAAATCCATTTATATAAGAGGCCCTTATATCAATGCTTGGCATGCCATGTTGTGGTTGTTATACTTGAAATTAGTATATGCATAGGTGGATTTGTGAGTGACTGATGAGTCGGTAGAATTAAGAGTTTTGCTTTTAGTTTTCCAGTAAGAATTCAAGTGCAACCAGCAAATGAAAAAAAAATTGGTCTAGGCTAAAGTTGTAATTTACTGTCAGAGAGATAGTTTTTCTATCAGAAGATAGGATTACTCATTTACTGAGAAACCACCAAATGCCAGGTATATTAGATTTTAAAAAAATAGGTTATTTTATTTAGTCACTATAATAAAAGGCAGAAGAAGTTTAAATAATTTGAATTTTCTAAGCCCATACTGCATTAGGAATTTGTAGGGAATTAAGGGGAAAAGTAGGAACCGTGAGGAATTTGAACTCCTCTTTCATTCCAAATCCTATACTTTACCTTTGCATTTTTAGCACCCCTCTTTCAACTTCTAGAACTTGAAAAATTAGTGCCTTGTCACACCTCAGACCATTTAAATCAATTTCTAGAAGTGAGACCTAATTATCAGTATTTCTAAAAGCTCCCTAGGTGATTTTATTATTACACTAGAGGCCTGGTGCACGAATTCGTGCACCAGTGGGGTCCCTCAGCTTGGCCTGCTGAGGGACCCCACCGTTGCATGATCAGGGCCGGGGAGGGATACGGGAGGCTGGCCAGCCAGGGAGGGACCACGGGAGGGCTCCAGGGTGTGTCCAGCTCTTCTCACTCAGTCCCAATCAGCCAGACCCCAGCAGCAAGCTAACCTAACAGTCGGAGCATCTGCCCCCTGGTGGTCAGTGCACATCATAGCGACTGGTAGACCGGTTGACTGTCTGCCCCCTGGTGGTCAGTGCATGTCATAGCGAGTGGTTGAGTGGCCTTAGCATATCATTAGCATATTACACTTTGATTGGTTGAATAGACGACCTGACGACCAGACACTTAGCTTATTAGGCTTTTATTATATAGGATGTATTGAGAACTGACCTGTCTCAATGTCTATAAGAGAGTAAATATTTAATAAATCCTTGATTTTTGAAAGAATATATACCTGACTGTTGAGCTGCTCCCTTATAATTCTTTCCAGTATTATAGCCACCTAGAATACTTTTGTATTAACTTAAGTCTTAAAGAGGGCTTTGTATTATAGTTTGTATATATTCTCCATTCAGCGCCATGGCATATACAGGAAGATGTTTGGCAGGTAGTAATGTTTTGCTGCTCATATTGTTACAGAAAAAACAGAGAAGAACCAAGCAACACTTAGAGAGATGGAGTTACATTTATTATGCCCGGGCCCAGAGGAAAATGTCTCTCCAATTCTGGGTGAAATCACACACGAAGTTTCCCATATTTATACTATTTTACCTTCTTTGTCTCCCAAATATGGGGTTTTTCCGGTTCCCTTTGCAAGTTCTTAAAGGGCCCTATGTGCTGGGGCTTTGAGACCGCAACCAAAGGCTTGGCCTGGTGCCAGCACTGATAACTTCGTCTGGGAAAGCTTTAATGGCCTCTCTGAAATGGGAGTAGTCTTATTTTCCTTATTATTTAAGCCAGCAAGCATTTACAGAAGTCAGAAATAGCAGGGTTAAAATTTCAAACAGCAATTTTTATATAAGATGGATGCTTCAATATAATTCTGAATTTCCTTCATTATTGGGAAGAAGGTGTGGAAATAGGGTAGTGATGGCAAACCTTTTGAGCTCGGCGTGTCAGCATTTTGAAAAACCCTAACTTAACTCTGGTGCCGTGTCACATATAGAAATTTTTTGATATTTGCAACCATAGTAAAACAAAGACTTATATTTTTGATATTTATTTTATATATTTAAATGCCATTTAACAAAGAAAAATCAACCAAAAAAAATGAGTGTCATAGGTTCGCCATCACCGAAATAGGGGAAGGCTTAGGATGTCTTTCGTGTGTCCCATCCAAGATTGAAGACAGGTTGTAAATAGACAATTATTGGTTGTTTTTGTTTTAAAATAATCTTACAATTTTTAATAATACATGGTTCAAAAATCAAAAGATAGAAAGGGATATATATTGAAGATTGTCCTTCTTATCTCCCAGGATACCAACAATGTTATATCACTGTTCTTCCAGAAATATACTAAACATATATAAGCAATCATATGTATAATAATAAAAGCATAATATGCTAATTAGACCAGATAACCTTCAGGATGAAGCTGGGGCTGTGAGGGAAGCCCGGGTCCCGGATGCCAGAGGGAAGCCAGTGCCGGCAGCCAGGGGAAGGAAGGCCTACTCTTGCACGAATTTCATGCATCAGGCCTCTAGTTTATACATATTTCCCATTTTTACCCAATTGGTAGTATGTGCATCATGTTTGTTTATTTACTTAACAGTGTATCTTCCCCACATATAAAGAATCTTATCAGTATATAAATATTTCCTTCTTTTAACAACTAAATGTTATTTCTTTATTTATAATTTATTTTAATCATTCACCTGTTAATGGATATTTAGGTTGTTATCAATTTTTCTCTATTACAAATGATGCTACCTTGAATAGATAAGTTATTTCACTTCTTTGTGAGCATATATTTGGATAAATTCTTAAAAATTCAAGGTATTGATATTGCCTTCTATGAAGGGCTGAATATTTACTGGCTGGGAAATAATGTGAAATTATGTGAGGGATTAAAGGTATGAAGAAGCATAAGTGACCAAAACAATTATTGTAGCAGGTTAAGAGGATAAGAATGAGCCTATAGCCAAGAATAGGAGAAAGAGCTACTGGGTTTTGTGGTATGTATATACACGGAATACATTTGTGATTAAAATATACTAATTAATTTCCTCAAATCCTAAATTTTTTTACTCTTAAAATATATTTGAACTTTAAGATAAACATATATTTGAATTTTAAGTGTAATACTTTGTGTATGAAAACTCTTCATATCTTTAAGGAAAAAATATCCTTGCTATTTTCTTTTCAGATTTACATTTAGCATTTGTTTGATCAAGATTTTAATCATTGCCCTAGCTGGTTTGACTCAGTGGATAGAGCGTCAGCCTGCGGACTGAAGGGTCCCAGGTTCGATTCCGGTCAAGGGCACATGCCTGGGTTGCGGGCTCGATCCCCATTAGGGGACGTGCAGGAGGCAGCCAATCAATGATTCTCTCTCATCATTGATGTTTCTATCTCTCTTTCCCTCTCCCTTCCTCTCTGAAATCAATAAAGATATATTTTTTAAAAAAAGATTTTAATCATTTAATGCATAACTATTTTTTACTTGAAATCTCTCTTCCTCTTTTTATTTCCATAGCCCTGGAAGAAAACGGGATTTTTCCCCGGTATCTTGGAGTCAGTACTTTGAGTCCATGGAAGATGTAGAAGTAGAGAATGAAACTGGCAAGGATATATCCTTTGCAAAATGGCTTATTCTTTAGTAAGCTTATAATGTTGTTTAAGTAGAAGACTTATGTAGTAGTTCCTAAAATGTTCTTTATTACTATTGTTTATTTCATTTTTATTCTCCACCTGTTTTTGTGTGTGGCATGGAATATTACCTATAAGTCAATGCCAATATTTTATGTGGCTATAATTGTCTAATGCATGGGGAAGGGATTAAGAATTAAATTTCTGAAACTGGTATATTTCCTAAGGGCCCAAGGTAAAGTTTCATGAGTGAAGTGAGTTGAACTGGTTTTTAGCATCTAGAAACCAGGGGCTATGCCCTCATTCGCGCAAAGGAAAGCATTTTTTCCCCCATTGATAAAATAGTCATACTGGTCTCATGCTTCAAAGACAGAAACTTATATTGAAGTATCTCAAGTTTAGAAGTCTGCAGCTTTGCATGTAACTTCATGCTGCATGAGTTAGTTTTCTAATCAGCATTATTATGACTAATCAAAAACTTCAATGAACAAAGTTTAGATATGTTATCTTTAACTATTCATACTCTTTTCGGGTTTATAAGAGTGGTTCAGAGGGTCCAGTCCTACTCCTTTTGCATGGAGGAGGCCATTCCGCCCTTTCCTGGGCTGTGTTCACGGTAAGTAGTTGATAGTATAAGTTGATATAAATGCAATTATTGTTTACTTTTGGATGAATTTGACTAGCCTAACTCTTCCTTCTGTGCTCACTCTTTGGCTTGATTATAAGAAGGTTATGGATGTGAGTTGATTCTGTATTTATTATGGTAGGCCAAATATCACTTGTTCTTTAAGGTAAAGGTTCTTAACTGGGGTGAGCTTCAGTGCATGATTTCTTCAAATGGTTTGTAAAATGTTTTACATATATTTCATTGGGATGAGGGGGATGGAATTTGTGTCTTGTCAGAAGTGGGGGTCTGTATTTCAGTGATCTAAGTAATGGAGAAGCAGACATATTCTATTGAGGTGCTTTAAATAGAGATAATGTCTATCATTTATTTATCTCCCTCATAGAGCCTATTGTACTTTATACATAGAGATGTCCCATAAGTATTTGGAAAATAATCCTTCTTTTTTACAAATAATGCTTTACACTTAATGGTACCTGTGAACTATTAGGAAGTAAGCAATATTTGGTTGATGATAACCTGGTCTAGAATAGAGGATATGTATCTGTGTGAATGCTGTTAGTTGTGGGTCTTCCTAATATCCTTGACTCTGGGGTGGGGTGGTCCATGTGTAAAGAGAGATACTGCTAAGGAAGATACTGGCAATATTCCTATATAAAGTAAAATTGTCATATCTTATGTGTATCAAGCAGATATACATACGTCCTCTATTTACCACTAGGGAGTCTGAGGGACAGAAAATGGGAGCAGTTGGGAATGCAGCACTAGGTATCCAGAGCCAGATGACTGTGGAGCTGAAGAGGCTTCCGAATAATCATTTTGCTTCTGGCAGGATTATTGGGATTAAGTATAAAATCACCATCTGGTCTCTTCTTTTAGAATATAAATTCCTTGAGAACAGGGTAATGTCTTACTCTTTCTTGTTTCCCAAATGCCTGAAACAATTCTTGACACATAGGTACTTATTCAACTGTTACTAAATGATTTGTCCCCTGCTTTGTTTGCTCCTTCCTATCTCTTGCTTTAGGATATAGCTGTATGATTTGCCCATAAGTGCCAGGCTCTTTCATGTGTCTAGACCTGTGTTGTCCAATAGAGATACAATGCCAGCCATATATGTAATTTTAAATTTCAGAGTAGGGATATTAAATAGCTAAAAAGAAACAGGTGAAATTAATTTTAACAAGTTTTACTTAATCCATTGTACCCAAAATCTTATCATTCCCACAGGTAATCAGGCTAAAAGTTACTGTTGAGATATTTCACATTATTTTTTATACTGTCTTTGATATCCAGTGTGTCTTTTATACTTAGAGCACATTTCAATTTGGACTAGCCACATTTCAGGTTCTTAGTAGCATAGCTTTAGACATTTACATTCCTCTACTAGATTGTAAGCTTTTTTGTTTTGTTTTATTTTGTTAGTCCTCACTAGAGGATATATTTTCCATTGACTTTTCTTAGAAAGTGGAAGGGAGGGAAGAAGGGGAGGGGAGGAGAGAGCGATTATATATTTATTATGGTAGGCCAAATATCACCTGGTTTTTAAAAAAATATATTTTTATTGATTTTTTACAGAGAGGAAGGGAGAGGGATAGAGAGTTAGAAACATCGATGAGAGAGAAGCATTGATCAGCTGCCTCCTGCACACCCCCTACTGGGGATGTGCCTGCAACCAAGGTACATGCCCTTGACCGGAATCGAACCTGCGACCCTTCAGTTTGCAGGCCCACACTCTAACCACTTAGAAAAACTGACTAGGTCAGTGGTCGGCAAACTCATCAGTCAACAGAGCCAAATATCAACAGTACAACGATTGGAATTCCTTTTGAGAGCCAAATTTTTTAAACTTAAACTATATAGGTAGGTACATTGTTATTAACTTAATTAGGGTACTCCTAAGGCTTAGGAAGAGCCACACTCAAGGGGCCAAAGAGCCGCATGTGGCTCGCAAGCCGTAGTTTGCCAACCAGGGGCTAGGTCAATTGTAAGCTTTTTTAGAGGTAAAGATCATAGTTTCTTTTTACCTAGCACATATTGTATGAACAAATAATAGCATCATTTTCCTAATGTAGCAGCTATAGTAATAAAAAATACTCCAGTTGCCCTGAACCAAGGTCAGAGCCCCCAGAAGTGGCTCATATACCATGACTTGCCTGGCTCTGCTCTAAGCTAATACACTGTCACGGGGCAGCTAACATGTTGAAGACTTGTAAGGAAAGAGGCACTGTCTTAATTGTCATGTCACATTCAGATAACTGTACTGAAACGTGCTAGGGATAGTGACTCCAGACCGCCTCATAAGAAATTTGGCAAAAAGTAGTCTGTGGATAGGAAAACCAAGGATAGTTCTTAATGGGTTACAAGGTTTTATAAAATTTATAAGAATTACATATGTAGGCTAGAGGTGGCTTCACTATATTCTTTGAACTTTGAGCAACTCTCTTATAGTCTGGTGGAAAATCAGAGGTAACATTACCGCTTTGAGCATTCAGAATCCTTAGAGATGAGGGATCCAGGTAGGGCTAGAACATACTTCCCACAAAACAGCTATTGCTTTTGACACTAAAAAAAGGAACAATGAAGTGGAGTTCAGAAGATGTGATTTCTAGCTCCAGTTTTACCAGTAGTCGTAATACATCCTCGTGAAAGTTATTTTAGCCCTTGAGCAAGCCACATAAGCCTTTATTCTCTAAATACAGTCTCTTTAGACTTCAAGGCTTCTTTGAAGATTATTTGAAATAATGAATATAAAAACTTTGTAGATTATAAAGCCTTGTACAAATACTATAATAAGCTATTTGTTGGCATGTATTGAAATTAAATATTTTTATCCATTGATTGGAACAATGAAATAACATGGAAAGTGCCTGGCATAGAGGAGATGATTGATAAATAGCTGCTGACATTATTATATTTGTTATTATTGTAGAAGATATCTCTTTTACCAAGATATATTCTACAGATTACAAATTCCATGAGAAATTAATGAAATAGGGATTTTGTGATTAAATGAGTTTGAGCAATATTACATATGATATCCTTTTCTTATTCTCTCTCGGAAATTCATCCTGCATATCAGTATTTTATTAAAGCCTTTAGGATGTTTTTCGAAGTCTATTAAATTTCAACTATGTCTCCTAAATGTATTTGACCACTTGATTTCTTTTTTCTGAAACAATTGAATCTGAAGTGTCTACTGATTCTCACACTTTGTGAAACCCCTTTTGTAGATAAATCACTGTGTCCCAGTTGCTTACCTGGTTTACTTGTGTAACCAAGGGAATTCTCTACCAATCAATTGACTTAATAATAACTTGGACTTGGCTGGTTAAATTTGCCTGCCCTTTTTTGTTGTTATTCCTGCAGAGTACCAGCCCACTGAATGCGTTGATATGAGATTGTGCTTTGAATTGTGTCTGTGAATCCAGAAGGCAGCTGTGGCGAATAGCAGGAATAAGCTCAAGTGCTTCATCATCCTGAGAGGCAGATTTTCCCTGAGATCTTTGCCCAGATGATATTTGGTAAAAAAGGCAATAAAATAGAAGCAAAAAGGCCCTTGCATAGCAGGAGGACAAGTATATTGGCAGCCAAAGGAAGAGATGAACAACTGTGATTGATGCTAAATCATGAGAACCTTGAGAGCAGATCTGTGCCTTATTCACCCTATAGGTCTAGCACACAGAGCCTGACAAGGAGTTGATGCTCAGTAGTTCTTCCTTGAATAAGTTAATACCAACTCCTAACAATTAAAAGATTAAATTTTGTTCATTGTCTCTTATTCAAGAAAGCAGAAAAGTGTGTAATTTTCCTAAAGGCTTCATCAAATGTCAGTAAGTCATTTACATATAACTGATACATAAACAAGTTGTATAACGTGTTAGAAAAATTACAAACTCCAGGAGACATGAGGCCAAAGGACAGGAAGAAATAGTTCATGGAGAACAAACAGAATGTTTATCCTCACTAGTAATTAGATATGATTCATAAAAGGTATCATTGTTTTAAATATCAAATTAATATATATTTTTTTAAAAAAATCCTCTGTTGGCAAAGATACTTAGAAAACGAAAGTTTCAAACATTGCTGGTGGCATTGTAAATAGAGCTTTTTTGGAAAGTACTTTACAGTGATGAATCAGCAAATATTTATACCAGTTAACACAGAAATTGTACTTATAAGGAAAAATACCAAAATGGGAAAAGCTATTTGTCTAAAATTAACAATCCCAATGTCCAACAATAAGTAAATGGTTAAATAAACTGTATGTACCCCTAAGACAAAATATTTATACAACCTTTTAAAATAATTCTGGACAGTATGGGAAGAGCTTTCTTTCTGTTTTTCTATTTTCTAGGTTTTCTTTCAGTTGTATGTTTTTTATTTTATAACTTAAAGATTGTTTTTTTTTAATGTACACTGTTTTTAAAGGAAAAAGTTTACATTAATTTCAAAAGTTGTATTCAAAGATTGTATTCAGTTCTCTATCCCACAAGTTAAGAGGAGATTGGCAAACAAACTTGCCCAGCAAGGATTAGAAACCATAGCAATCAACTGAATGTTTGGCCTAAGAAAAGCAAAGACATGGGAGGCATAATATTTGCTCTCAACTGTAATATTAATTTTTTTAAAAATCAGCCACAACTTTTAAACATTTATTATGTGCCAGGTACTGTGATAAGTGCTTACCTACCTGTTCCCATTTAATTCTTTTTATATTTCTGTGAGGGTAGGCAGATGAGAACATTAAAATTTAGAGAAATAACAGCCATTCACTGCACCAGAACTTAAACCTACCTCTGTCTGCCTCCAGCATCATGTTTCTCTGAAGACCAGTTCTGCACTGCCTAACAGTACAGACTCAGGGCAGAAATCATAGAGGCATATTTTTGAGACACATAACGCAGAACTTCTAAAAATTGGGACTATTTCAAAGCAGACAAGAACCTCTACAGAGGAAGGGGAGCATCATCTTGGTAGTGTTCCAGCATAGTGCATGTTGTAGGATTTAATTGTGAATATATCCTAAAGTTCCTTATCTATCATTCTGTAAAATTTCTGGACCTGAGTAGAAACCCTTTTGCATTAAATCTTTTGTGGGTTTTTTTGGGGGGGACCCCAGAGATTCACCTGAACAAGTTCTATTAACTGTCAAGAGAAAGCATTTCTACTTTGGCTTTTGTAACAGGAAAAACAAAAACACCAAGGCATACGTGTGTGTGTGATCATTATTTATTAAAGGATGATAACTAAGAGAGGGGAATTATGGTGTTTTAAAGGGTAAGTTTTAGGTTTCTAGAAAATTAATTTTTCAGAATTATTTATTCCTTGTTTATATTCAGTAAATTAGTTATTACTATAGTTGCTGTAATCAAGTTTATCATATGTAGTGGATAATACAATACTTAGGGCTTCTATAGACTTCTCCATTAGTAAGTAATGGGTATAACAGACTGGCATAATTGCTGTGGGAAAATCCAGAACTAAGCAGAAATTGAAGTTTGGCTGAGAGAGCAGAGGAGCAGTTGGAGCTCATTGATACATGCAGCCTCAGCAGGCTACATTTTGCCAGCCTCCAGTTGTTTTCAGTTTTGGTACCTCTAAGGCAGCGATTCTCAACCTGTGGGTCACGACCCCTTTGGGGGCCGAACGACCCTTTCATGGGGTCGCCTAAATACATCCTGCATATCAGATATTTACATTACGATTCATAACAGTAGCAACATTACAGTTATGAAGTAGCAACGAAAATAATTTTATGGTTGGGGGTCACTACAACATGAGGAACCGTATTTAAGGGTCGCAGCATTAGGAAGGTTGAGAACCACTGCTAAGGGGTCTGGGACCAAACAAGTGTGAATTGATTAAAGCCAAGAATTGAATCTGCAGTGTCTGCTGATTTCTTTTGCTTCTTTCAGTTAATTCAATTTATGTTAGCAAATATTTACTAGGTATATTCTATATCTCAGGTATTGTGATGGGTTACTCAAGATAGGAAAATGAGAGTTCACTCTTTTACAAGATTAGCCAATCAGCAAATGCTTGGTAAACCCCTGCTTTGTACAAGACATTATGCTAGGTGCTATGGATACAATGGAGAATTAAATATACATGCTATCCTCTTGTTCATATGATGATTTAAGTCAAATGGGACTACTTAATTGTGAATATATCCTAAAGATAGGAAAAATGGAGATGGCACATGTATACAAATAATAACAGCAAAAATTTTAAGAAGCTTTCATTTCAAACAGACTGAGGTCTAAATCTCAAAACAGCTTAATCTACCAAGCTCTAGTTTCTTAATCTGTAAAATGGATATAATACCATCTAGTTAATAGAGTGGTTGTGAGAATAAACAAAAGATGTGCAGTTCTTGATAAAGTGCTTTACTCAGGCATTCAGTTTTAGATGAGTTTACAGTATCTAAACCTCTAAAATTGTAACTCCCTAGGATATTATGATTTCTTTTTTTTTAAATTGTAGACACTATTACAGATGTCCTCCATTTCCCCCTCTTTGCCCACCTCCACCCAGTCCATGCCCCCTCTCCTATAGCTTTCACTGCACTGTTTATGTCCATGGGCTATGCATATATGTTCTTTTCAAAATATATTTTTATTTAACTGCAATACAAGCTTGTGTGTACTCCTGCATTGAAAGTGAATCTTTGGCAGGTTTTATGACTTGTACTGCTTTCAGGATTATTTCATGATCTGAATGTTACTTTGTGTGATATCCTGAACCAAGATATTAACTGACTCATGGTCCTTATCTAGGGACTCTCCCTTCCAAAGTAGGGAAAAGATAACCAAGGAATATGGATGAAAATCATAGTTAATAAAATACAGAGGGTCATTGCTTAGAGATGCTCACTCTGTGTTTCATGAAAAGCTAGGAAGAGTTAAGGTTTATGAAGGGATTCAAGTAGAGAAAGTTATATTTTGAAGTTGGGATGAAACCATTATATGCACCAAAAAAGCAGAAAATTGTCATTTAAAAATTTTTGCTTAAAATTGGAAAGTTTTATTTCAATTGTCCTGAGATCCTCCAATTCTGATGGCAGGTCATTCAACAAAGTTATTAGTAATGGGAAAATTTTGCTAACCCAGATGTATCTTAATACATTTCCTTTTCCTCCTAGGCAGCGATCATTAGCAGGGTTCAATGTAGGATTGTAGCTTTGGATCTGCGAGGTCATGGTGAGTGAAGTTCTTTTTCTTTTTTTAAATTATTTTTTTGTTAATCCTCACTTGTTTTTTTCCCATTGATTTTTAGAGATAGGAAGGGAGGAAGGGAGGGGAAAGGAGAGGGAGAGAAATACTGATGTGAGAGAGACACATCGATTGGTTGCCTCCCACATGCAACCTGACTGGGGCGGGGATCAAACCTGCAACCCTTGACAGGGAATCGAACCTCTGACCCTTTGGTGCATGGCCTGATGCTCCAACCACGCACACCAGCCAGGGCGAGTGAAATTCTTAATTAGTTTTGACTGAATGGCATATTTGCCAAGCCCTTTGAATAGTGTTAAATATTACAAATTTCTGTGTGGCATTTTGAGGGAAGTTCTAGCTTGCAGTTTTTATAAATATTTTACAAGTACACACACACACACGCACACATATTTGTTGTTGCTTAGCTAAGAAAATGTCCTTTAATGTAACCAGATTTGGATGCTGGTAATATATAAGGAATGTGAATAACTCACTTTTAGACTACTGTAATTATCATCCTTAGGGAGTCCAACTATAAAGATGTGCATGCAACACAAAATTTTGCTAAGTCCACCTTATATAAGTATAAAGTCTCCATTTCATTCTCCAAAGGTGAGATTTTTTTAAAGAGCATACTCTTGCATTTATAATTTCTATCCTTGGGAGTTTTATTTTTAAAATACAGTGTTTTTTTTTTTTTTAGGTGAAACAAAAGTCAAGAATTCTGAAGATCTGTCTGCAGAAACAATGGCAAAGTAAGTAATCTAATATTGTTTATACATCACCTAGCTTTCATTACTATCATAAAGAGTAGCATACCTTTATCACTCTCCTGGTGAGATTGTTGGACAATAATTAGTAAATGCTCTATTCTTTTTTACTTATATCTGGTGTCTTCTTACTATTTAATCTATTTAAACATTTATCTTTCTTGGTATATTCAATGTGATGGTCATACATAAAGCACTTGAAAATTCTTCGAGGTACAGTTTAGTTTGTATTGGCTTTTGAAAAGTTTTCTTTTGTTGACATTGTTGAATAGAATCTGGATATCGATTGGGGACCCATGCTTGGAAAGTAGTTCTCTATAAGAGGCCCTGTGAAATGTTCTTAAGATATCTTGCCCATATTCTTTGTCCAGCTTTGTAGTAAGACAGAAACAGAGTCTTAAAGAAAAAATAGTTATATCCTAGCCCTTAAAGTAAAAAATAAATGTAGTATATACAGTAGCTCTCAAACCTGGTCACTCTTCAAAATCACCTGACAAGTGATTAAAATACAGAAATATTCCTTTCCTAAGCTTAGATACAATTAAAATACAATTGTGATCATTCAACTACTTCACCCTACTGAATTAGTGCTTTTACCAGTGCAATCTGGGCATTTATCTATCTATATAAAACCTTAATATGCAAATCAACTGAATGGCAGAATGACCTGTCGGCAGGGGGCGGGGCCCTGATCTCCGGCCAGGCCTAGGAACCCTACCCTATATATTAGGAACAGTCCCTTAGATTTAAAAATTAAACCTGGCAAGGCTACTCTAACACTGAAACAACAGGATGATGCAGCGATGACATGCACATTTTGTGGTCAGCCCTGATTCTGACACTTATAACTGTGTGACAAAGCCAATTACTTAACTTCTCTCTGCTTCAGTTTTTCCATCCAGAAGATGGGGAAAATGGTACTACTGCCTCAGAAGGATCATGTTATGTACTACTTTTTATAATCAGGGCAAAAAAATATAGCTGCCCATACAACAGCAAGATGCCTTTCATCTGTATGAAAAGTATAGTCACTGGTGCATGCAGCATCCCAGATTGCAAGAGGGATGTCCGATTGCCGGTTTAGGCCTGTAAACCGACAGTCGGACATCCCCCGAGGGGTCCTGGATTGTGAGAGGGCACAGGCCAGGCTGAGGAACCTCTCCCCCTTGTGCACAAATTTTGTGCACTGAGCCTCTAGCATTTTGATAAAGCTCTATTGAGGAATCTGATATAGGACTAGTGTTTTGGAATTACTATCTTGTATTGTAAGCAGAATTCTTATGACCCTGCTTTTGTACATGCTCTGTCATGTACTTAATATGTCTTCTCAAGTAGTTGACCAACTTTGGCCAAAAATATATTGTCCCTACTTTAACAACTTTAATCCAAGAGTAAACTGTTTTTCCTTTAGAACCCAAACTCAT